GAGACTATTAAAGGCCAACTGCCAGGTCTTATGTCGCCCCATGACAAACCGCGGGATCCTCTATGAAGCCAGCCAGCAGAGTCAGACGTCAAAGGAGATAGGGGCGTAGATGACAAAACACACCAGGAGCGACCAGCAATGCGCTCCGCTGAGATAGAGTAGAGGAGGAGGGGCGCCTAAGGAGACTACGGCAGCTGGGGCATAAGCCAGCTGCCTCGTCTCATCCAGCGCAGATTCAAATCACCCACCTCCTTCAGCCACAATAGTTCTCCAATAGTCCTTTAATAGTCTCTTTATAGTCTTTTAATAGTCCTTTAATAGTCTCTCTCCAAAGCAGGCAGGCAACCAGGGCTCCTTCCGATCAGCGAGGGAAGTCAAGCTAGCGTTAAGCACCGAAGGTAGCGGTATTCCCTTATGTGTTTCAATCACCGACCACCATTGAGACAATGGATTGTGAACCAAATTTCTCCTGCATAGCTTGATCACATAGTTTCATCGTGAAGCACATGTATCCAGCTACTAGTATATTATATATCATTACACTTACCAACCTGGTGTCTTGGATATTATTACTGCTGTCTCAGAATTCCCAGCCAGCCAGAGAGTATTCAACTGGGACAGGGTACACAGTTACTCAGTGAGAGCCTGAGCTTAAATAACGATTTACATATTTTTCTGACACTTGATCAAAACCAAAAGCAATTTCAGATTTTGAGTCTCCAATTAACTTCTCACAGATCACCCTGTGATACTATCTTTTCAGACTACTGTATATTTCAAAATTCAACAAATAATAAAACCATTTCAGTCTGCTGTTAAGTATGGCATATCTGGTGTGTGTGTGTGTGTGTGTATGGAATGTTTGCAGCTAAATTAGACATATGGTTTAGAACAGCCATGGCGAACCTTTTTTGGCTTGCGTGCCATAAGAGGGGGAGTGCAGGGGGGTCATGCGCAGGTGTGCTGCACCCATAATGCAATGTACAACCCTCCCAGTGCACATGTGCACATGAGAGGCGCGACCCCCCATTTTTTGCATGCTTTTTTTTGCCCTCCCCAGGCTCCAGAGGCTTTATTGGAGCCTGAGGAGGGCAAAAACAGCCCCCTGCCTCCCCCGGAGACCCTCCAGAGACTTCAGGGACCTTCCCTTCCTGTCACTTCCAGTTTGCTCGTAGGGTCGTTTTTAGTCCTCTGAAGGTCCCTGAAGCCTCCGGAGGAAGTCTGTTCCCGAATTTCCAGTTTGCCCATAGGGCCGGGGTTTTTTTGTGCTCCGGAGGCTTCAGGGAAGCTCCTGAAGCCTCCAGAGGGCCTTGGGTGGCAGGGAGGCTCTTCTCACCCTCCCCAGGCTCATATAAAGCCTCCGAAGCCTGGGGAGGGAGAAAAATCGCTTTTAAAAAGGCTGAACTCGGCTGGCCATCTGACAGGGCAATGCCTCGCATGCCCTTACAAATGGCTCTGCATGCCACCTGTGGCACACGTGCCATAGGTTCACCATCCCAGGTTTAGAATATGCAAATTGCCTGACATTCTATTTATTTTACTGTAAATGTAAACCTCAGCACTGTAAATGCATCAACATGTAAGTTGTAAGCAAAGATAAATAAGTCATCTTGCATATTATGCTAAAATAGCATTTTTCTATGTATATTACATTAGAAAATATAGCATATTTTACTCATGTAAATTGTCTAAATGATATTTTAATATACACATATATATGACCTCGGTTTTTTTTAAATTGTTTTGCAGCCACAGCAAGTGGTCCAGAAGAAGCCAACTAAGGTAAAAAGTGAATTATTTTGCCAGATAGTTAATTCAGTTCACTTGTTTGTCAAGTTTCTTTACTTGTAACATTGCTATAAAATGAATGGAAATATACATTTTATAAGTACTTACAACAGAAGGACCAAATAATTCTATGCATATTTTTAAATGTATTTTGCAAAGACTAAAAATATACCATGACATATCATTTCACCAATTTATCAGTTTAGATTCCTAATAACTTCTTTTTGCTGTATTATTTAATTAACCATATTTTCAAACAATATGCAAGAAATGTTCTGTTCTGTTTAATTGTTTTGAACTACAGAAGCTGGTTAATGTTACTTTGGTTTGATTATCTTAAAGTACAATTGCAGAATTTTTTGTACGAATTGGGAAGAGAAGCTCAAAATCAAATTATTTCCATTTCCAGGGGCAATGAGAAATCAGAAAACTCAAAACTACAGTCGCCTTCAAAATAAATATAATTTAATTACCAGTCAGCATGTGAACCTTTTCTGGCCATTTACTAACATGGAATAATGTCATGAAAGTTTACACTTTCGTGCAAAATTTTCACTTTACTGAAAATTAGAATAGAAAAATATTTGATATGTGTGCATTTGAAGTAAAATTAATGAGAAGGGCATAGGATAGAATATAAATTAAAATATTAGTAATTAATTGTAAGTGAGGAACCTCCCTGATAAAGCTTAGCTTGGAAATGTGTGTTGAAATAAAGCTGCAAAAATGGAAATAATGAAAAATTGATAGCCTTTTCTGTACCAGAACTGGTGAAATGCTAAGGATAGGGCTCTCAGTGGAATAATCTTATGAAATTTCATTGATTAATTTTATATTATATATCTTACTGATTTAAATCCTGCTAACGCCTTCAATTCCCAGGAAAAAAAATATGTGGGGAATTCAAAATTCAGTCTGCTAAGGAATATGTGAAGCTTTACCTCATTGTGTTTGCCAGGTACTTTGTAGATAACTCCAACCCCAACAGAAGCTTGGCAGAATCTCAGTGGTGGGGACCTCACATTTCCATTCACATTCTCAATTGTGGCTAGTCTTTTTGCTGGACCAACTGAGAATAAGCCTGGATTTTAGGACATACCATATTTTTCGGAGTATAAGACGCACCAAGGACACACCGGAGTATAAGACGCACCAAGGCAATTTTTTTTAAAAAGTAGGTAGGTAGATAGAGGGAGAGAAAGGGAGAGAAAGAGAGAGAAATACAGTAGGTAAGTAGGGAGAGAGAGAAAAAAATAGGTAGGTAGGTAGGTAGGTAGGTAGGTAGGTAGGTAGGTAGGTAGGTAGGTAGGTAGGTAGGTAGGTAAGTAGATAAAGGGAGGGGGAGAGAGAGAGAGAGAGAAATAGAGAGCGAGAAATACAGTAGGTAGATAGGAAGAGAGAGTGTGTAGGTAGGTAGGTAGAGGGATAGAGAGAGAGAAATAGAAAGAAAGAGAGAGAAATACAGTAGATAGCTAGGGAGAGAGAGAGTAGGTAGGTAGGTAGATAGAGGAATAGAGAGAGGGAGGGAGAAATACAGTAGGTAGGGAGGGAGAGAGAGAGAACGTGTAGGTAAGTAGGTAGAGGAATAGAGAGAGAGAAATAGAAAGAGAGAGAGAGAAATACAGTAGGTAGGTAGGGAGAGAGAGTATGTAGGTAGATAGAGAGAGGGAGGGAGAAATACAGTAGGTAGGGAGGGAGAGAGAGAGAACGTGTAGGTAAGTAGGTAGAGGAATAGAGAGAGAGAAATAGAGAGAGAGAGAGAGAAATACAGTAGGTAGGTAGGGAGAGAGAGTATGTAGGTAGATAGAGAGAGGGAGGGAGAAATACAGTAGGTAGGTAGGGAGAGAGAGAGGGTAGGTAGCAGTGGTGGGATTCAGCCAGTTCTCACCTATTTGGGAGAACTGGTTCTTAGCTTTCTAAGAAGTTCAGAGAACCAGTTGTTGGAAGAAACCTTCTTTTGGTTTTTTTCCGCTTTACAGGGCTAATCCTGTAAGGAAGG